GTCACTCAACCACTGAGCCACATCCCCAGCCCTATTTTGTATTTTATTTTGCTTGGCCTAATTTAAACACTACCCAATGGCCTGGTGTAGCTCAATGGTAAAGCACTGGCCTAGCATGTGTCAGATCCTGGGTTCATCCCCAATACCACAAAACAAACCAACAAACAAAACACTGCATAATATATACATGTACCAGAACATCACAGGATACCCCATAAACATGTACACTTTTATGTTTTTAAATATCAGTTAAAAATAAATTTAGTTTAAATTTTAAAAATGATAATGACTTTTACCATTATTCCCATTTTGGGAGTGGTACTGGGATTGAACTCAGGGGCCCTCAACCACTGAGCCACATCCCCACCCAATTTTGCATTTCATTTAGAGACAGGGTCTCACTGAGTTGCTTAAGGGCCTTGCTTTTTGCTGAGGCTGAGTTTGAACTCGAGATCCTCTTGCCTCAGCCTCCTGAGGAGCTGGAACACTATTCCCATTTTCCAGATGCTGGGCTTAGTAACACTTGTCTGCTAAACTACGCACCCCCCCTCCCATCAGCCACCTTTCACTCACTCAACAAATATTGCTGGAGCTCTCCTCCATGCCAAGCTCCTGATTGATGCTGGAGATGCCACAGTGGCCCAAATGACTCAGGGTGACTAGATTCTAATTGGGGAGATGGGTGATAAATATATCAATAACCAAACACACGCCCTGTTGGTGTCGTGGAGTGAATTTTTTTTCTTTGATATGAGGGATTGAACCCAGGGGTGTTCGACCACTGAGTCACATCCCCCAGTCCTTTTGTAACTTTATTTTTTATTTTGAGACAGGTGCTTAGGGCCTCACTAAGTTGCTGAGGCTGGCTTTGAACTTGGGATCCTCCTGCCTGAGCTTCCTGAGCTGCCCGGAATATAGGCATGCAGAGTGAATGTTTGTGACCTCCAAAATTTACCTATTGAAGCTCTGACTCCCAGCAAGCCTACATTTGGAGATGGGGACCAAAAGGCAGTCATTAAGGTAAAGTGAGGTCCTGATCTGACAGGATTAATTAACCCCTTATAAAAGGAAATGCCAGGGCTGAGGATGTGGCTCAAGCGGTAGCGCGCTCGCCTGGCATGCGTGCGGCCCGGGTTCAATCCTCAGCACCACATACCAACAAAGATGTTGTGTGCGCCGAGAACTAAAAAATATTAAAAAGAATTCTCTCTCTCTCTCACTCTCTCTTAAAAAAAAAAAAAAAAAAAAGGAAATGCCAGGGGGCAGGAGACATGGCTCAGTGGTAGAGCGCATGTTTAGCATGCACAAGACCCGGCAGCCATCTCCAGCACTGAAAAAAATACAAAGAAGAAACATCTCTACCTCCAAGTGCACAAGGAGGAGGATGTGACCACACCGAGAGAAGGTGGCCTTCTGCAAGCCAAGAAAAGAGCCCTTACTCAACCCCAAATCAGCCAGAACATTGATCTTGGACTTCCAGCTTCCAGGACTATAAGAAAATAAGTATCTGTTGTTTACGTCACCCAGCCTAGAGTTTTGTGTTATGGGAGCCTGAGCTAGGTGGCAGTTAGGTCGTCATGATTACCATAAAGAAAAAGAAGTCAGGGTCAGGCCTCAGGAGAGTGGAAGATGTTAACTACTTCCCAAAGAGGGGTGAGGACAGGCCTCTCTAAGAAGGTGATTGCTGTTTAACTCCAGGAAGTTTTTACTTTTTTTTTTTTTTTGAAAAGTTAAAAATTCCTTAATTTTTTTATTCCTGGTATCAATACCACAATTTATAGGGCAATATACCTGATGTCATGAAAAGAAAAAGACAAAGCCACAACAGATAACAGACCTCAGGAATGTACATCTCACTGACACTACATTGCACTAATCAATAGCTGCACTTTTTGCACACTGTGGCTATGACAGTCCTGGACAAGAAGGGTTTCCTGTTTAAGCTGCAGTAAACTTTTCTGACTATGGATCACCGTTCCTTCTGTGGCAGATTTTTACAGTTCCTCTAATGCATTGGGAACGACTGTCTCAAAGTAACCTGCAGCTTTCCTGACAACCCCTCGCTCTCTCTCTCTCCTGCTAAGAACTGCAGCACTTTTCTGCTGTGTTTAAAACCTTCTGCTACCATATCCACCACTTCCACCACCAGATCCATAACCACCACCAGAGGGACTGCGAGAGCTTCTTCCACCAAAACTGCCCCCTTTCATGGGTTCACAATTGGACTGCTGTTGTCCACTGTAATTTCCAAAATCATTATAGTTCCCACCACCACCATAGTTACCACTACCAAAATTTCCTCCTTCATTGTAACCATCATATCCTCCTCCACTACCATATCCACCTCCTTGGTTTCCATATCCTGGTCCACCACCACCATAACCTCCTCTGCTACTATAACCAGGAACCACCACCATAGTTGCCACCATCACCTCCAAATCCATTATATCCACCGTCGCCTCCTCCGTAACTACCTCTGCTGCCACCACCTCCACCACCATAGCCTCCTCTTCCACCAGAGTTCCCACCACGGCCAAAGTCACCTCCACCACCTCCAAAGTTTCCTCCACGGCCCATAAAGTTGCCAGATCCACCTCCAGGACCTCTTTGTGATCCAGCAGACTGCATCTCTTGTTCATAAAGGGTCTTTTCCACTTCACAATTAGGTCCATTAATAGTGTGGGATTTCTGAACAACAATGTTGCCAACTGTATCATGATCATCAAAAGATACAAAAGCAAATCCTCTCTTCTTCCCGCTCTGCCTGTCTTCCATAACTTCTATGGTTTCAATCTTGCCATACTTTTCAAAGTAATCTCTCAAATTATATTCTTCTGTATCTTCTTTAATACCACCAACAAACATTTTCTTCACTGTTAGATGGGCAGCAGGCTTTACAGAATCCTCTCTAGAAGCAGCTCTCTCTGGTTCCACGACGCGCCCATCAACCTTGGGTGGCCGAGCACACACACACATGTTGCTGCATCCACCTCTTCAACCCAAGAGTAAGTCACAAAACCAAAGCCCCTGGAACGATGTGTTTGGGAGTCTCTCATTACCACACAATCTGTGAGTGTGCCCCATTTCTCAGAATGTTCCCTTAAACTATCCCCTGGAGTTTCAAAGCTCAGACCACCCATCAACAGCTTCCTCAATTGCTCTGGTTCCTTTGGATCGTGGCCCTCCTCCCCCCAGCAGCGGTGGCCACGGCTGGGCAGCAGTTTTGCCTCCATTTTGAGACCGGACTCGCCTCTTCCAACTCGAGTTCAATATCAGTTTTTTACATTTTTGATAGTCGTGAAACATCCACCCAGATCAAGCTATGGGATGTTTTCCGTTGCTTTCTTGCTCATAATCTCTTTTCTTTACAAAGTGACCATCCTCAGGTATTTTGTTATAGAAATACAAAATGGACTGCCAATCTGCACCCACCTAATTAATGGTCAAGATTTTTCTGACTTCCATCAGCATGGATTCCTTTTGGTTGTTTCTGAACTTCCTAATAATGGAATCCTATAGGATATTGATGGTTACATCCCACCTCTTATTGTTTTTATTTTAAGACAGGGTCTCACAAAGTTTTCTAGGCTGGTCTTAAACTCCAGAATTCAGGTGATCCTTCTGCCTTAGCTTCCCCAATAGCTGGCATTACAGGTGTGAGCTACCACATCTGGCAGCAAAGAACATTCTTGAGCATGTCCTTACATGATAACTTACTTCTGTGAGTGGAATTACAGAGCTATAGAGTGTATTTACACTTAGGTTTGGTAATTGCTGCTATCTTAGTCCATTTTGAATTTCTATAACAAAATACCTGAGGATGGTCACTTTGTAAAGAAAAGAGATTATGAGCAAGATAGCAACAGAAAACAGGTTACTATGCTGAGCATGATCACTGAGTGCTTGAAATATGTTTAATGTGACTGAGGCATTGAGTCTTTAATCAGGTTCTTCTTAAAATATTTATTTATTTATTTTTGGTGCTGGGGATTGAACCCAGGAGTGCTCTACCACTGAGCTACATCCCCAGCCCTTTTTATTTTATATTTCGAGACAAGATCTTGATGAGTTGCTGAGCCTGGCCTCAAACTTGCAATCCTCCTGCCTCAGCCTCCTGAGTTGCTGGGATTACACGCATGCACCACCATGCCAAGCTGAATTTTTAATTAATTTATGTATTCATTTATCCTTATTATTGTTATTTTAAAATTTTTTTGTAGTTGTAGATGGACAGAATGCCTTTATTTTATTTGTGTATTTTTATGTGGTGCTGAGGATGGAACCCAGTGCCTCACACATGCTAGGCAAGCGTTCTACCCCTAAGCTACTACCCAGCCCTCATTATTGTTTTTGCAGTGCTGAGGATCGAACCCAGAGCCTCATGCATGCTAGGCAAGCATTCTACCACTGAGCTACTCCTTTAGCTTTGAATTTTTAATTCAATGTAATCATCATTAATTAAATTTAAATATCTATATGAAACCGGGGGCCACCATATTGGTCAGCACAGGGGTAAACTTTAGAAGAAAGCAACTGGCCACCAGCTCAAGACTTGTCCACTCTTCTTCTCAAATATGTCCCACCTCCAGTGCCCGCTCCTGATCCCCATGTCACTCATGCCTAGATCCCTGCCACAATCAGGTCCAAGTTGTTGTGTTTCCAGATTGATCCTTGGATAAAAAATCTGATCCTGTGGTTTCTCTACCAGGTATACTTCAGCACCCTGCTGGGGGTTTTAGTGTGTGTGTTTGCTTGTTTTGTGGTGAGGGTTTGGATGAAGCTAGTTTCCTCCAAAACCCATATTGTAGTGTAATCCCCTCTGTGAGGTAGTTAAGAGAGGGGACACTTGATCCAGCGATGGTTCTCAAAGTGAGGCTTTCAGGGGGTGATTAGGGTTAGATAAGGGCATCAGGGTGGAGCCCCCATGGTTGAACACCGGTGGCTTTAGGAGAAGAGAGAGACCAGAGGATACCTGGACGCGTTGACCTCGTCTCTCGTCTTATGATGGCCTGCACCGACCTTGGGACTTGGCCTACTAGGAGGCCATCACCAGATACAGCCTCCTGGCCTTGGACCAGAACTGTGAGCAAAGATAAGCTTCCTCTCTACAAATTCCCCGGCCTGTTGTGTTATTAGCCACAGAAGACGGACAAATACGGCCCTCCCACTAGCTACAGTTACTTCTCAAACCTGGAAATAATAACACTCTCAGGATCCCCTGAGTTCTACAGGAAAATTTTTATTTCCTTTCTTTTTGAGTTTCAAACCTGCAGAGAAGGGACAAGAACAGCACATACAGCTTCATTTAGTATTGCACATTGTTAACTCTGGGCCTTTTCTTTTCTTTCTCTTCTTTTTTATTATTTTTTTTTTTTCAGCATTGGTGACTGAACCCAAGGCCCTTCTACTGAGCTACGTCCCCAGCCCCTTTTAATTTTGAGTCAGAGCCTCACTAAGTTACCCAGGCTGGCCTCAGTCTTGAGTTCCTCCTGTCTCAGCCTCCCGAGACATTGGGATTACGGGGGTGGGCTGCTGCACCTGGCCCACCTTTGGCTCTTTTTGTTTCACTTTTGTTGAACCATCTGAAAGTAGGTTGCAGATGTGAGAACATTTTTTTTTTAATCTTAGAGTAAAACTACAATTTTATAAATATTTTCTTACACAACCACAATATTACCATACTTACTATAATTCCAGTTTTTGTTTTAATATTCCAGATAACTTAGATGAACATGCACTGGACCATCCTCATAACTTTTTTATATTACAGTACCATCCCTGAAATCAGGCAGTACAGGTGAGACTACGCTGTAGTAACAAAGAGCCCCCAAATCTCAGAGTTTTATAACAATAGAGTGTATTGCTATTTCATGGTACATGTCCATTACACATCAGCTGGTACTTTGTTCCATGTCACCTCCCTCCAAAAGTTATGATGCTACCAATATAGCTCTCACTTTTAATAAGGCTGATTGCCATGACAGAGGGCAGCAATAAAATGCTCTGGCACAGCCCATAGCTCTAAGACAAAAAAAAAAAAAAAATTAGGTGCTCAAAGTCAGAGAAATAGAAATCTTGGTGAACAGAGTCAATGACTATCACAATACCCAAGTTTTTGGCTTGTTTTTGTGACCATCATGGAAATGAGACAGCACTCATTTTAATTGTCATGGGCAAATAAGAAAAGAACAGAGACGGACTCCATGCTTAACATTTACAATTGCACCAAGTGAAGGTTGGCAACATTCCAGCATGGTTGCAGAGTTGTCGTTGTCGTCATTGTCCTCCTCCTCCTCCTCTTCCTCCTCCTCCTTCTCCTCCTCCTCCTTCCAGTATTTCTATTAGTACTCAAGCACTGTACTAAGTACTTCACATGAATTATTTCACTTCACCCTCCCTACAAGATACCACCACCACATCATTTTCCTTCTAAGAAACTGTGGCTCAGAGAGGTATAATCATTTGCCCAAGATGAACAGCTAAAACCCTGAATCTACCTTAGGCAGCCAACTCCAGGGTCCATACTACTGCCTAAGGCCAGAGGTTGTAGATATTCAAATAGAGAAAAGTTGCAGAGAAATAGAGTCATCATGACCCACTGTCTATAAGCAGGGCAAACTCAAAGTCAGGATTATTTGTTTTGAGTGGTTATTTGATTTCAGCAAGACAACCTCATGTGTCACGTCAAATTACTGACAGCTGTAATTCTTATTTATAAAATAGGTCCTACAGTTCTGTCGGGAGTTTATACACTGTGTTATATTTTGAACGTTACAATAAAAATATTTTCAGTGGATAGTACAAGGTGGGGGTAGAGGGTTAAGATAAATATATTCCTTTAAAAAAAAGTTGATTTATACATTATTCAGGTAGGAGAAACTTCCAGAATAAAGCCCAAATTCCTTATCAGAGCCCTGAAATTCCTTCTTTGGGGGAGAGTTGTAACAGGAATGAACTCGAGGGGCCCTTGACCACTGAGCAGCCCCTCAGCCCTATTCTGTGTTTATTTAGAGACAGGGTCTCACTGAGTTGCTTAGGGCCTCACTCTTGCCGAGGCTGGCTTTGAACTCGCCATCCTCCTGCCTCAGCTTCCCACAATACTGGGAATATAGGCGTGCACCTCCGCCCTGTGAAAGCTCCTTTTTGACCTAGTCTCGTCCTCTCTCTAACCCTGTTCTCCAGTCCCCCGACACTTGTAGCTCTCCAGATTAAAACATCTGGCTTTCTCAGGCCTTATATAAAGGGTTAGTTTGGCTCCATATAACAAGTAAATCCAGTCTCTAGTGGCCTTATTCTTGTCATAGAGAATGGGCCTCCCAGGGCTTGTAAGGTGGCTTCCTGATGCCAGGCCCAAGTCCCTCCATCTCCTCCCAAGCTCCATCTGTCTTTCCTCATGACTGTCATCCTCAGCTCATCCCCTCTTGGTCACAGTTGGCTGCTCGACCTCCAGCATCTTCTCCGTATTCCAGGCAAGGGCTAGGGCAAAGAGCAAAGGACTTGCTAGTTCAAGTTTTCTCCTTTCAAAAATAATTTGTTCAAAAGCCCTTTCTGGAACCCATCTCCATGTCATTGGTGGGGTCTTAGTTGTATGGCTACCCATAGCTGCAAAGAACTTAGGAGACGGGCTGGGGTGGTGGCTCAGTGGTAGAGCACTTGCCCTGCACGTGTGAGGCACTGGGTTTGCCTCTTAGCACCATATTAAATTAATTAATTAATTAATTAATTAATTAAAAATACTGTAGCCAGGCTCAGTGGTGCACACCTGTCATCCCAGTGACTCAGGAGGCTGAGGCAGGAGGCTCACGAGTTCAAAGCCAGTCTCAGCAACAGCAAAGCACTAAGCAACTCAGCAAGACCCTGTCTCTAAACAAAACACAAAATAGGGCTGGGGACACGGCTCAGTGATCAAATGTCCCTGAGTTCAATTCCCAGCATACCTCCTTCCCCCAAAAAAGGTGTCATGTCCATCTACAATTTAAAAAAATATTTCATAAAAAAAAGCTCTAGGAAGGATAGTTTTTATCCCTGGGCAAGTGGATGTCCTAAATTAAATCAAAATTATAATATTCTTACTTAGTAAGAAAGAAGAGAATAGGTGTTATATGATCTCTAACGAATAGTATCTGCCACAGGCCCCTTGTCTTTTTTTTTTTTTTTTTTTTTAAGTACTAGGGATTGAACCCAGGGGTACTTTACCACTGAACCACATCTTCAGCCTTTCTTTTTTCAATATTATTCTAGTTGTAGTTAGACACAATGCCTTTATTTTATTTATT